AAAATAACAACTAAAAATATTTAAGAATCATATAAGAAATTTAGTTGAGTTTCGTAAAAGTACCTACATCACATAAAATGGAACAGAAAGAGTAATATATATTATTTGAAAATGATATAAGAAGTGCTATAAATCACAATAAATTAACAACTTCAAAATATATTTAACAAAATCACATACAAAAAATTATATAACTCTCCAAATTTCATCGGTGTCACATAAATTGAAACAAAGAACTACTCCCAATTTATGTTATTTACTTTCCTTTTTAGTCAGTCCCAAAAGAATGTCACATTTCTATATTAAGTAACAATTTGATTATAAAATATTTATTTTACCCTTAATGAAATAATTTACAGTCATACAAATTTATATCATTCATTTTGGACCACAAATTTTAAAAGTCTTCATTTCTTTTTTAAACTCCGTACCGAATCAAACTACCTCACATAAAATGAGACGGAGGAAGTAATATACATTGGGCCCGCGCTGGCGCGGGAACCTAATAACTAGTATATATATATATATAAATGATTTTTGATAAGTGCTCATATATATAGAGAGAAAATATTGCACTCGTTATTGTGTATTTATTTTCGATAAATTATAATAATAATTTTAATGAAAAAGGGTCAAAGATATTTCTAGATGATGTAAAATTGAATAAAAATATCCATAATTGATCTTTTAGTCTAAAAATGCTCCTGACATCAATGATATGGCCCAAAAATGTCCCTACCGCTAATAATTTGATCCAAAAGTGTCTTTGTTTTTACTTAATGGGTCAAATAAAAAACATATTGTTTCTTTTCTTTTTACCCACTTTTTATTCCTAATAAATATATTACTTTTAAAGAATCCTATTTTTTAAAATCATTTAAATAATAAATAAGTAGAAAATATTTTTTTCTCCTTTTTAATCTCATTTTATCAATTAAAATATTTCAAATACATGTATCTTTTTAAATAATTATATAGGTCATATATATAAGATCATAGTAACCTCATCATTAATTTTATTTCTGTAATGATAAAAAAAAATTTAATAAAATGGAGAATATTTGTATTTCATTATCTTTTAGAATTGGATTAGGATAATACTTGCTAATAACTTATTAGGAAAAGAATGTGTTAAAAAGTAATATATTTATTTGAAAAAGAACGTTATTGACCAATTAAGTAATAATAGAGACATTTTTGGATCAAACTATTAACAACAAGGACATTTTTATTCAATTTTTCATAGTTCAAGAACACTATTTTTCATAATTTTAATAACAAAAACATTTTATAGCTACACAACCATAAAATAATGATGAGTTAATAATTGCATCATTAAATTTAAAATGTATATAAAAACAATAATGTATATTTGATTTAAATGAAATTTGTAGCTAATATTTGTGGTAACACATGCAAAAGATTTTGAGACGGAATTTCTATCACTAACATTATTTTTCATATTAGTTTTGAATAATTTTTTTAATATTATGTCATACTAAGATTTGAAAGAAAAATAAATTATAAGAATTTAAAACCCTTCTATATTTAGATCCAAACCCAAAATCTCCCTCCAAAATGAAAAAATGTAAAAGTCAAAATTCCCCCCCAAATTTTTTAAAGCCCAATTATAACTATTAATTAACCTACCCCTCCTCTTCGTAACAACAGATCCCTTTCCCCCTATCGCCTCCCCTCCCCCTCACTGTTCTTTACCTTACTTTCTTGCTCAACTTAAAAAATTTCTGTAATTTTGCTAATTACTTTTTTCTTGCTCAACTTAAAATTTTTATGTAATATTTTACTAATTACTTTTTTGATCTTTTTTTTTAGGTTTTATATTCAAGGTATGTTCATATCTTCATGGATTCTTGAATTTGTATTAAGCCTATTTCATTTAAATTTATGAATTTACACTTATTTTAGAATTTTTAATAAATTAAATTTAATGAATGAATTTCCAGATTTCAAAGTTTGATTAATAGAGTTTGAAGCAACCATAGCTTGCCGACTGCAACAAAGAAGTGTTGTGATTATATGGGAATGATGATCCTTTTAAGAAGTTTAAAAAGTTTGTAGGTTTGCTTACTTTTATTGTTACTTTGCATTTCCCCTTGATTTTATCTATTAAAACTTTTAGTAAAAGAATTATCTAGACATATTTGTTTCTCCTTGAATATAGATCCTATATGTACACATACTCATATATATAATAAGTCGGTCCTTATTCTTGATGCTAAAATCTTTTATTATTATTATTATTATTTACAAGTATGTTAGTGAAATTAAAACATATAAATGACAAATCAAGATGATGTTGATCAAATTAAGGTACAATTGAAGATCGTGGAAGAAGTGATGAAGAAAGACTGCTGCTTTGGATTCAAACAAGATTGTCTCTTAAAAGAATTGTATATTGTAACTATTTTCAAAATTGTAATATACAATTATATATAACTTGCGAAATATTTTGAAATGGATTTGTATCTTCATTATGCAACTCTTCTGACTAACAAAGCTTGCGAAAATTCTTAAATAGTAATAAAATTATTGAATGCGTATACAATTGTTAAATGTCTATAAATTTTCACTTTCCGTAGCAAGTGAATATTTAGCTATAATTCAATATATTTCATGGCTAGTGATATGAATTTTTAGCTACAATAAGAAAATGTTTGTGGCAAATACTTTATGTCATAGCCATGAATCTTATCATTCGTAACTAAACACGAATACTATTGCTACGAGACTAAGCTATAGAAATAGCTACAAAATTTAAATTTACATGGCAAACAAATTAAATATTTTGCTACTGTGCAATACCTTTAATTGTGGCAACATTGATGTAGATAGCTACAAATCTTGTATGTTGTGGCAAAAAAATAAAATTACTTGGTATAAATATATTTTTTGTGGCAATTTTTAAATTTTATGGAATTTTTTTTTCTTTCGACTGGTTGACAGAAAAACAAATTTTTTTTAAAAATCAAACGAAAAAAATTTCCACCAAAATCACTGTCAAGGCAGCGATTATAAATGCTGCCACATCAGCGATTTTAATTTTTTTTTAAAAACAAATCGCAAAAACGCTGCACGGGTAGCAATTTTCTGAAGAAAAAAAAATAATTGGACTAAATTGTTAATAGGACAGCGATTTTGATCTGTTAACAGCGTCAAACAAAATCGCTACGTCAGTAGCGATTTTGCCCTTTTGGTTAGAAAAAAAATTGATGTGCCCTTTTGGAATTTTTGTCAATTTTTTTTGCCCTTTAGGCTCTAGATTCCATCAGTATACATACACTTTGAAAGTCAAGACGCAATAGGTAGGGCATGAAGCATGATGTATAATGAAAAGTTTTGTCATATAGAACATAGACAAAATACCATTAGAAAACAACTACTCTCTAGTGGACTTATCACAATTGACTATGTAAAGTCAAAGGATAATGTGTCGGCAAGGGCGGATTTACGTTGAACCATGGGGGTTCAGATGAACCCCCATCGTTGAAAAATTACACTATATATATACGATTAAATTTTTTATTTATTTATGTGTATATATATAATATTGAACCCCCTGAACATACACCAAAGGCGTAGCTCAGTGGCATTGGGGGTTCAAGAATTCGCGCTCCAGCACGTGAGGTCGCGTGTTCGAATCCGAACAGAGGCAATTTTTTATCAGCTTATATTTTAGGCGGAAATTTAAGATTTATTACTTTAATTCCTAATTATAAAGTCAAATATTAAAAAGCCCCTTTCTTCTTTATTAAAACCCTGATAATCCCTAATTACAAAGTCAAATATTAAAAAACCCTTTTCTTCTTTTAGGATTTTTTCACGTTTTATTTTTTTCATCGTTCTTCTTCCTTGCTCTGGCTGCTGCTTGTCACTGCTGGCTACTCCTTGTCACTGCTACTTGCTACTTTTGTTGGATTGGTCATTATTGAAATCTTGAAGTTTATATCCGCAATCTTTTCTTACATCTCCATTAATAACTAATTCGGTATGTTTTTGGTTCCCTTTTTTCTTACTAGATTTCTATATACCTTATTTTGTTATTTCTTGATATGCTTTCTTTTAGTTGGCTGAATTATAGATATCATTGAAGTTTTACAAGTCCTGCCATTGCTTGGTTTTGGTGTCAAGAACAAAATTGCGGGCAGTAGGACCCCGGCACTGGGGACCGTACTGTCCAGTAACAACATAAATGTATCTCCCATCAGTTACCATACCCAAGTGTGAATGAGCCATTGCTTAAGCTTTTTGGTTTTGGTCCTTATTGTGTGTATGCTTTTTTTTTTAGTATTTCTGACTTTTGAATGTGTGTTTATTTCTCTTAAATTCTAACTAAACTTTTACTTTACAATCCAGTCTTAATATTCAATGAAGAAGTATTTTACCCCAATATCGAAATCAAGTTTAGCCTCTCATAGTCATAGTCAATCTAACCAACAAGAAAATGTCAATCATTCTGAAGTACCATCACATTCTTCTCAAGAATTTGATTTGAGTACTTTAAAGTTTGATCCCGGTGAAAGAACTCCAATATTGAATTATCATCCAAATCATCGTGATGTTATTAGAAGGGCATACCTTGTGAATGGTCCTTGTCAACCTCGCTTGGAGGTGCATGAGTACCCTCAAACAAATATTTCTGGAGCAATACGTCGTTTTAATCATGAATGGTTTGATGATGTATATCATGATTGGTTGGAGTACAGTGTTAGTAAAGATGCAGCCTATTGTTTGTATTGCTATCTATTTAAAGATCATAATATTAATCAAGGTAGAGGTGAAGTATTTTCTTGTACAGGATTTAAGAATTGGAATAAAAAGAGTGGTCTTGACAAGCATATTGGTCTGCAGAATAGCCCACATAATCGATCAAAAAAGAAATGTCAGGATTTACTACGGCAACAACAGTCGATTCAATCTGCATTTGAGAGACAATCTAATCAAATTAAACATGGATATTATATTTGCTCAAGTGTTTCGGTTGATGTAGTAAGACTTCTCATAACTCAAGGACTCGCATTTCGTGGTCATGATGAATCTAAATCATCACTTAGTAGGGGTAATTTTCTTCAGATTCTCTCATGGTATGCAAAAAGATGTGATAAAATTCGTGATTATGTACTTGAACATGCCCCTCAAAATGATCAAATGACTTCTCCAATAATTCAAAAAGATATTGTGACTGTATGCAAGATAGAAACAGTTAAAGCTGTTCTCGAGGAACTAAATGGTGACTACTTTGCCTTACTAGTTGATGAATCTTTTACTATTTCACGCAAGGAGCAAATGGCTATTGTATTACGATATGTTGATAGAATGGGATTTATGATATAGCGATTTGCTCATCAACTTCAACTAACTCTTGTTGGGGTCTCTAAAAAGTGTGTTGAAGTGGGAAAACTTGTAGTATTGATCTCAAATATTTTTAATGTATTGGGATCTTCTTTTAAGCGTATGGATGATTTACGAGATTCTCAAAAAGCAATAATTCAAGATGCATTAGATATGGGTGAATTGACAACCGGTAGAGGCTTGAATCAACAACTTGGTCTTTCAAGAGCTTATGATACTCGTTGGGGATCTCATTATAAATCCTTTAACAATTTTATTCTTATGTTTGGCTTCATTGTTGAAGTTCTTGAATCACTTGCTCTTGATGCACGAAGTATGGATGAAAGAGCCAAGGCAATGGGACATCTTGAATCTTGTCAAACATTTGAGGTTGCGTTCATGTTGCATTTGATAAGAGATGTATTAGCAATCAATGAGCTCAATAAATGCTTACAAAGAAAGGAACAAGATGTTGCAAATGTCATGCTACTTGTTGAAGTAGCAAAGAAAAGGTTGCAAGTTTTAAGGGATGATGAATGGAATTCTCTTATTGCTAAGGTATCTATATTTTGTACCAAACATGAAATTTTGATACCTAACTTTGAGGA